GTCTGTCCCTCCCGCATGGAGACCCAGCACGGCGCCAAGCACACAGCGCCGTGACAAATGACCGACTGAGCAAAAAAGCCAAAGAGGCTAGAAAACAAGACCCGAATGTTAGTATGAACCTTGCCACGGATCAAGAACCCCCGAGGACACCACCATAGTTAGGGCCCCTCCCCTATCACGGGCACTGGCCTGCGGGGATAACAATAGGGACACTGCACACCTCCCACAGCACGAAGCCCCAGCAGCCCCCTGGCCAGGCCTCAGCGCACCCGCGACCACGCACCAGGCACACACCCGCACCAGGCACACACCCGCACCAAGGGAAGCCCTCTCAAGTTGGTGCACTTGAGCCCTATGCCCAAGCGTGACTCCAGTGGGTGGGCTCTGTGCATGACCCGTGCGAGCTGTTCCACTATTCCTCACATGGGGGCTGGGATATAGCATGGAGGATGTAAGCACGGTGTCCTCGAGTAGGACGGACGCATCCCCACCCTGCGGCCTCTGGGGGGGGGGGTGCCCTCCCTGGGCAGCACGGCATGGTCCTGAGACTGGGCTGGTGATGCCCAGACCGCACCAGGCACTGCTCCCCAGGGGCTGGGCGCACGCCCTGTTCAGCTCACTAGTGTGAGCTGCCAGCAGCCACGTGTAAATGTGGCCAGAGGAAGAGGAGGCCATGGAGGACATTTGCAGGTCCCGAACACAGCAGGTCCACCCCAGCCTGCAAAGCATTGGCCTGGACCCTGTCTCCATCCAGAGCTGGTCACCCTCAGGTGAGGCATCTCCACGCCCGACGCTCTCCCAAGAGATGACACTCACGCCAGGGGAGGCTGTGGCGGGTGCAAAGAGCAAACTCCCAAGAAATCTGGCTGCAGAATTGAGGTGCGGGAGAGGCCGGGGGATGGGACCCAAGGGGTAGGGGCTAGTGGACTGTGGTGGAGGATTTGGGGTATTTTGGTGGTGGCTTGGAGTGGCAACCTGCAACTGAAGAGGGGTGAGCCTGTACCCCTGGGCCTGGGATGTGTGGGGGCCACCCAGCTGACACTGACAGTGACTGGAAGGATGTTTCCGACACAACAGCAAGCTAAGGCGGGCCTTGGAAGCCGCATGTAAGTTTTACATTTTTCCCCAGAAATAACCCAATGATGTCAGGAGGTTTTAAACAGGGGAGAATCAGACCAAGCTGTCACGCACAAGCAGCAGAAGCCCTCACCACCGCCCTTGGGTGTAAGCAGTGTCCTTGATTCCAGGAGGATAAGGGCAGGAGAGTGGGGCTGAGTGACGTTTATAAAGTGCCACGGCTGGAGTGCACTGAGTCCTGGACGAAGATCCGGGTCAGCCTGACTGAAGACCACATCATCCTGTCTCTGAAGAGGAAAAATAAGCCGCAGGAAATTAAAACTGGAGCCTCATTTCAGCTGATGGTCTATGGCATTTTCACGGAGACCAGGCTGGAGCTGACAGTGGTGACACGAGTGAAGTTTGAGATGCAGCGTGGCCGGAACACAGCTTGCACAGCCTCCATGTGGCCGCCTGTCCTTGGCATGCCCACTGCACTCCAGGATGCTCCACGAGGACCAAGCCCTGACGTCGGGTGCTCAGTGACCCCAGGTCAGTGGCTGTAGCTGTAGAGTGCAGCCCCCTGGGCCTCACCCCAAGCCCCACCAGATGATGAGATCCCCCAGGGGCACCTCCCGGGAGGGGGCACATACAGTGATCTTGGCCTGTGGGCTGAGAGCGGAGGGAAGCCATCCTCAAGGGGGCACAACCCTGTGGGCATGGAGGGCTCAGCCTGAGGCGACAGTGAGCCCATGAATGCCAGGTCCACTGTGTGAGGGGTCACATACACGCCACACACCCACCCACAGCTACGGCGAGGAGGGGCTGAGCAGTGGTCTGCTGTCCATCTACAGCAGCCATGCTGAGGTGCTGTTTAAATACGTGAACAAGTGTTTACACAGAAATAATAACATTCACTATCTTAGGCACGAGGAACACGACCTAAGAAGCAGGCGGAGCAGCGGCCATCCAGGGTGCTTCCGGGAGCAGGGCTGTCCAGTCGGGCATGTGCTGTCGGGGACCAGCCCACGTGCTCTTACTGGGGTGACAGAGGGCTGTCACTGGAGGACCCCTCCCCCCCCCAGCTCAGCGAGGAGGGGGCCACTTGTCTGGGCCTCAGGCAGAACATGGGGAGGGGGATGGAGGGGTGAGAAGCTAGAGCCCAGGCCTATGGCACATGGGTGTGGAGCCAGGGCCACCTGCCGCTCAGCTGGGACCTGGACTTCAACATCACACAGAAAAGCTGGTCTGGATCAGGTGAAACCTGATGATGTGAGGACCAGGCGAATAGCCCCCGCGTCCAGGAGGCCCATCAACAGGAGGCCGGGCCCACTACCGGGACCCACACACCTCCAAGAGCATTTTAAGCATCATCATTTTCAAAGCAATAAAAAAGGAAGACAATTCAGCAGACATGAATAAGACATTGTTTTTAAAGAACAAGAAGATGTGGGGGGGAATCAAATAGAATTCCTGGAAATGAAAAAGATAGACATTGGAGACGAAACAAACCAATAAAAATAACTCAATGAACAGGCTAAGAAAAATAACTGTCAACCTAGCTGAAACCCTCTGTTAAGTTATGACTTAAGAGAGAAGGAAGAATAAAGACCTATTCTAGCATCTCAAGACTAAAATAACTCATTCTCAGAGTCCCTACAAAAAATCTCCCCTTAGATATAAGTCCTTAAAAATGGAAACTCACCCAGACATGAGTGGTGAGCTTCAAAAATCAGTGATGTACAAAGACACTGGCAAACCTGTATTGATAAATCAAATTAAGGAAAAAAGAAAAATAACAATGACATAGTCATAAGTTAAAAATAAGGAAAAATCAAACACACGGATGAAAGTAACTCAGAGTTAACGTACGGTTAGGGCCTTGTCTTGTTCTGAAAGAAGCCAGGCAAGGTGATTAAGATAAGTACACAGGTCAAAATACATAAATGGCATTAATGGGAGAACAAAAAGGTAGAAACTGTACCTTTCAAGCCGACAGACATGGAACTGAACAGAAATGAGTAGAGGCAGGAGGCAGGGAGGAAGAAAGGGGACGGAAAACTAGATGTCAGAAGTGAGTCTGGGCATTTCAGGATGAACAGAACACGCAGCTCAGACTTGGTGTGAGAGAACTGCAGGAGATGGGCAGAGGGTCGAGCCGTCTGGGAGAAAAGAGCTACCGCCAGCCTAAGGGCTCGGCTTCCTGACATGCGCGGGAGAATCCCGCCTGCCAGGCCGGGCCAAGCTGGTGCCAGGCCCATGTGCTGCGGGGTGGGGGGTCTGCGTGCTGGAAGGGTTCGATGCAGCTGGCACTGCTATTGTTCACTCAAGGCCAGCAGCCAGACAGGGCAGGTTATGGACACATCAAAGGCTGCAAAGGGAGAGCCCGAGGCTGACCAGGAGAGCACCGCCTCGCGTTAAAGCAAGCATCTGCACAGAAGGCAGAGGAGTATGACCACGGGATGAAAGGAACTAGGAAGACCACCCAGCACAGAGCCCCCAGGGCCCAGCAGCCGCGAGAAAGCCGCTGGGGACTCGGCGTGGACACCTGCGTCAGGAGTGCCAGCGGTATCCAGTCACGGGGCCTCATCCTTTGGGAGTTTTGCCTCCAGGATCTGTGCCAACCCCCTATCCCCCGCCCCCGAGACCATCAGCCTGTGGGAGGAGAGGAAGACAGAAGGCATTAAACACACCAGGGTGGCTGTTCCTTAAAAGGCCCATCTCCGGAGACGCAGAGCCCAGTGGGACCTCCAGGCCCGTCAGAGCCTGGAAGACACCAGGCAGGGGCTGCCCGTGGGGGGAGGGAAATAGCAGCCCCGGCGCCTCTATGCTCTTGTTGGGTTGAAATTTGGGGTGAAAGAGAGAAGCAGTTGGGAAACTGACAGACCAGAGTGCAGGCTCACTGAGGGGTAGACCTGGTCACATGGCCAGAGACAGGTCCTTCCTGCCGCGCCACCAGCCACGCACCAAGGGCCTGGTTGCCTGGTGCTGTGGGAGTCTCGCTGGCCTTGGGTGCCCACAGCCAGAGTGCCCACCGTGAGCGGCTCTGGCTGCGACTGGCCCCCTTGGGAGCCAGGGTCTGTCAGAAGCCCATCAATCCCACTGGGATCAGGCACCCGCAGCCACCACCAGACACAGGGACGCCTCATTCTGCCTCAGGCATCTGCTGAGCATGGTGTGACATGCTGGTTCATCCGACCCAGGTCCACTGGGCCAAGGAAGACAGCACCCACCTGGGCGGCTAAGCGTGACATGGGTGTGGAACCCACAAGACAGACGCCCACCGGCCACCCCCAGCCCACGCCTCCAGCTTCGCCCCCCAGAGGGGACACAGCCTCCACCAGCAATTCTCTAATGACAAAAGTGATCAAAACAACAGTCCTTTTTTCACACTTGTGATCCTAGAAAGACTCACCTTTATGCAGGCAGGCACAGACAAGCTGACCACACTGAACATCCGCCTGATGCTAACCAGGGTGCCCGCCAGTGGCAGACACCACGTGACAGGAATTGGAACATCAGCTCAGAGCGGCTGTGAGGAGCCCCCGAATTTATAGCAGAGCCCTGGCTCGTGGGACGACAGGTGGTTTCTAGTCTCCTCCATTTGTTCCCTAAACCTTCTCTTTAGTGTCACTGCTCAAGCAACAGAACTGCTGGTGGGGGAGCAGCAAAGACCCCTGGGGTACCCACACTTCTAGCTCCTTCCCAGGGGTCACACCTGTCATCCCAAACTGGAACAGAGCCACTGGCACCCCATCTCTCACATGGGAAATGAAGCTGAAAGGTGTTGGCCACTCACCAAAGCCCACGGAGCATGTGTGGCCCAGCCGAGAGAAGGGGTCTAGGGTCCTGGCGGCCCCTCCAGGCCCGCACACTAGCTCAGGACCAGGCACTCAGCCCACGAGCCCTGGGTTGGAGGGTGGGGGAGCTGGGCCCATGCTTACCTCGGCCAGGCGGGAGTGCTTGTGGACATTCTCGCCCTTCTGCACACTGGGCGCCAGTTGCTGCAGGACGCCCCGGCTGCTGGTCAGCGCTCTGGTCAGCCGCGCAAACTTGCCCCAGCCTGGAGTGTACAGAGCAAAAGAGACAGGTTCAAGGCGGGCTGGGCACATGGACACCCACTCACATCATCGGGCACAGGCCCCACCTGAGAATGGCTGCCCAGCAAAGTGCCCGGACATCCTCAGATGAGTGTGGCCATCGTCCTTGCCCCACACCCTGACCCCAGCTCTGTGACGTCAGGGGGCAGGTTCAACACCGTTTTCCACATGGGAAAACCAGAGTCAGATGTCCCTCCCTGACTTTGGTCTGGACTCAGGCGGCCCCAGCCCCACACCATCTCATCCTGCAGACAAGCTGGTTCTGGGTGTTAAATAGACAAACTGGTCAAACGGCCACTTCCATGTGTCCTGCGCCCCAGAGCCAGGGCAATAAGAATGGAGGGGGGAAATCAAATAATATCCAAAAATTAATAAAGATGTAAGAATATTAATTAATGAACTAGGTAATTACAAAGAAATGTCTCCAACCCCTGGCAGGTGGGAGCTCTGGCAGGTCCAAGACTGCTCTGGGTCGGGGAGGACGGCGGGTCCAGGCCCTTTTCAGACAAGAACCACAAAGCACCTGGTTTGAACTTAGAGTAAAGAAATCTGAATGCAAATCCCAGCCCCGCCTCCAGCTTGCTCTGAGGGCCCAGCAAGTGTCAGATGCGTCTGCTCAGTCACCTGTGGGTGAGGTGGAGTTACCATCCTCCCCCGTGGGCAGCCTCTGTGCCCACAGGATGGCGAGGCCCGGTGTCCAGTGAATGGGCTCAAACACAGGCTGTCTTCTGCCTCTTGACCCTGGGCTAGTTACTCCGGGGAAGCAAAACTGACTTTTCCCTTGCAGCCCCTCGGCACCCCAGAATCTAGGCCACAGGAGAGAGCTTTCCCACATCTAACAGTTCCCAAAGATGACTGTCCTTTCAAGCACCCATACCCTGCACAGGGGCATGGCAAACTCCTTCTGAGGCCCTGGAGAGGCGTCGGGGCCCTTGGGACCCAGTCTGGGATTCCAGGCATCAACAGAGCACCCAAATATGGCTGAGGGACGGATACAGCCATCGACCCTTTACCCAGCCAAGCTGAGGGGTATGCAGCACATTCGCCTTTCCTAGCCAAGCTAAGGGGCCCGTGGGCGGGGGCGGGAAACAGAAGGATGGCCCTTTTCTGGGTGCAACCTTTAAGAATCGTGATCTGGATACATTTTTGTCCACATAGCAAGAATAGCAGCTCAGGGCTTTTTTCCTCTCATCCCAGATGTTCTGGACTTTAATAAAAGCTAGAGCAGCTCCTCCCCCAGCCCGATGCCATCAGGCAGCGAAACTGGCCTGCTGCAGTCAACTAGGGAAGAGACACGGTGGCTGCACAGTGGGGCTCTGTGAGTGTTAACAGAGGACAGCCCAACTCTGCAGAAGTCACCAGAAGCTTCCCAGACATGCCATTTAAGAAGGGGCTCATGGGACTTTGCTCCTGTGACCTGGGGACTCAAGCGTTTCAAAGACTCTCAAGAGCAGGCTCTAGTCAGAGCAAACAAAACAGGAATTGAGTCTGGCAAAGCTTTTCCAAGAAGAGTATACTTTTCAAGCAGGTAGAAAGCAGCTACACTTGCAAATGTCAGCAAGCACTCTGCAGCCCACCCTGCCCATCAACCAGCACCTCCAAGACCAGGGCGCCACCCCAAGGCAGCTTGGGACCAGTGGCATGCAGGTGGTAGAGGGCAGGGCCCTGGCCCATCCCCCATAGCAGCACAATGACGAGAAAGACGAGAAAGACCCTGGACTGCTGGGCATTCGCCAGGCCCAGGCCAGCCCCCACTCTCTGACCTGGGCCCAGTTCTCTTCCCAAAAATGTGTCTTGGCTCCAGGGGAGTGGGGGCCTAGGACAGCAAGCGGGATGGGACCGAGGGCAAGCAGGGTGCACTCCTCCATCACACCCCCACAAGAGGGCGGGCCCAGCTGACCTGAAGGAAGGAAGGAAAGACACTTAGACAGCTTGGTGAGCAACACGATGGCAGGGAAGACTGACAAGGGGACAAAAGTCTCGACAGTGAGTTACGTTGTCTGACAGTGGTGCTATGGCCATGTCTGTCCAACAAGGGCAAATCTAATCCAGTCAGAGAGGGCTTCCCGAAGGAGGTGATATTGGAGCCAAAATAGTACAGGTGAGGAGTAAGCCAAACTCAAGGTGGGAAGGAAGGTTGTGTCGCACCAACACAGGCAGAGGGCACTATGTCGCCAAGAGAAGGACGTTCTAGGTGGCTGAATGAGCAGGCATTGGTGGGCAGGAGGAGGAGAAGCCTGAAGATGACGAGGGTGCAAGAGCAGATGGGGAAGAGTGTGGGCTGTGAGAGGCCAGAGGGCAAGGCAGGAGACTGAACTTCACCCACGAGGACCCTCTGAAGGAATTTAGATGGGGTGAGGTGGGCATCTTAGAAGGGCAGACAGCAGTGTGGATAGTAGAATGAAAAAAAGAGGCTGACAGAAGGCCAGTTAGGAGCCCAGACAAGCAACTGTGTGGCCTGGACCAAGGCGTGGCTGGGCCATGACAAGGGGAGACTTGAGAACAGCTCCCCAGGGGAGAGTCAACAGTATCTGGTAACCAACAGCTAAGAGACAGAAGAGAATCTGGAGCCTCCCATGGGGTTCCTGCCCTGGCTGGCTGGGAGGCAGTCATGCATTAAAACTAAAAAAAAAAAAACAATAATAGCATCATACTCAGTGGTGAAAAGTGAAAGCTTTTCTTCTAAGATCAGGTATATGATGAGGATGTCCCTCTTACCACTACTATCAAACATTGTTCTGGAAGTCCTACCTAGAGCCACTGAACATAAGAAAGATAAAAAAGGAATTCAAATTGGAAAAGAATATATAAAATTATCACTTTTTGTAGTTACAAAACTATTAGAAAAAAAATAAATCAGTCCAGTAAAATAGCAGGCTACAAAATCAACATAAAATGTGTTTCCTAAGTAGAAATAATGAAATAAAAGAGAAAGAAATCAAGAAAATAATCCCATTTACAGTAGCATCAAAAAGTATTAAAAACCTAGGAATAAGCCTAGGAATAACAAAGGAGGTGAAAGATCTATTCAATGCAAACTCTATGACATTGTTATAAGAAATAGAAGACACAAAGAAATGGAAAGATAGTCTCTGCTCATGGATTGGAAGAATTAACATTGTTAAAAGTCAATATTACCTAAAGAATTATACAGATTCAATAAAATCCCTATCACGGTTTCAATAGCATTCTGCAAAGACATAAAACAAAATTACTGAAATTTATGTGGAACTGCAAAAGATCCCGAACAGCCAAAGTAATCTTGACCAAAAAAAAAAAAGAAGAAGAAGAAGAGGAATGGAAGTATCATACTCCTAGAGGTCAAACTATACTACAAAGCTATAATAATAAAAATGTATGGTATTGCAATAAAAATATACATACAGACCAATGGAACAGAATTGAGACCCCAGTAATAACCCCGCATTTACACAGGTGGTCTATAACAAAGGAGCTAAGAGCATACCGTGAAGAAAGTCTCTTCAACAAATGGCAGGAAAACTGGACAGCCACATACAAAGGGAAGAAATCTGATCACTATTAGAACCCAAGGCTGAGGATGTGTAAATGAAGACCACCATAACAACAATTAACTCAAAATGGATTACAAACTTGGATGTAAGACCTGAAACCGTAAGGTACACAGAAGCAAACAGGCAAAACACTCCATGACACTGTTTTCAGGGATGCCTTTGGGGACTCAATTCCAACAGCAAAGAAAACAAAAGTAAACAACTGAACTATGTTAAACTAAAAAGTTTCTGCCCAGCAAAAGAAAACAATCATTAAAATGAAAAGACATCCTATAAAATAGGAGAAAATATTTGCACATCATACATCAGACAAGGGGCTAATGTCCAAGAGTTATAAAGAACTCACCAAATTCAACAAAAGGAAAACAAGGTACACAATCTAAAAATGGGCAAAAGAGCTAAACAGACTTCTCCAAAGAAGACACACAGATGGCCAAAGGGCACATGAAAAAAATGCTCATCATCAATTGCCCTAAGGAAATGCAAATCAAAACCACAATGAGATACCACCTGAAAGGTGACGTCAAAAAAAAACAGAAATAAGTGTAGGCAAGATGTGGAGGAAAAAGAAGCCTTGTGCACTGTGGGTAGAATGCAGACTGGAATGGAAGACAGAGGTTCCTCAAAATAACAAAAATAGAACCAACACATGATCCAGCGATTTTCCTTGGTATTCATCTAAAGAATGTAAAAACATGGATTCAAAGGGATACACGCACTCCCATGCCCACAGCAGCACTAGCCACAACAGTCAAGTTCTGACAGAAGAGTGGATCAGGAAGACAGGGTGTATATAGACGGTGGAATACTACTCAGCCATAGAAAGAGAGGAAATGTTGTCATTTGCAATAACATGGGTGGAACTGGAAGGGATGATGCTAAGTGAATTAAGTTAGAAAGAGAATGACAAATGGTGATTGGTTTCACTCATTGTGGAATGGAATGAATCAAAACAAACAGACATAGTTAAACCAAAACAAACTCTAGAAATGTGACTGCAGAGTCGAGGTCACCGGAGGGAGAAGGTGGCAATGGGAAGCAAAGTGGGGAGGGGCCCAATGGCGGTGGTAGGACTCTGGGGGCCTCAGTGGTGGGTGTGGGGTGGTGACATTCATCTGAGGAGGTGTAAGCCTGTACCCAGGTCATATGTAGTGCTGCAAACCACAATACAATCAAACAAGATTTAATGCAAAAATTTAATTTAAAATGAAATAACAACACCTAGAGAAGCAAGTGGGTATGGTAGAAGAGGGTCAGTTGGACCAATGCTGTCCACCAGGAGAAACATTCCTGAAAAAGTGACTCTCCTGTTGTCCAAAGAGGAGGGGACAGCCCAGGGGTCCCCAAGAAGCTGCATTAGCACCATTGTCCTCCTGTGGCAGCGCCCGCCAGCGCGAGGGGTATCCACAATCCTGGGCCCTGATGGAAATATACTGCAGAGCCTCCAGGGGCTGTGAGGCCGCCTTGCCTGAGACCCTCCTGGAGGGGCTGGGTCCACCCCCTGATTTCCAGTGAGGACAGTGGACCCGGCACAAGGGTGAATGTGGACGTTTCTAAGTGTCCTCATACAAATAACCAGTCTGGCCTGGCCTCCAAGCAGCAGTCTCTGAGCCCTCACATGGCCCTCCTGAGGGCGGAGGGGCTTTGGGGGTGAGGGCTGACTGTCCACAGGGCAACTTCCCCTGACCACCTCACAGGGCCTGCGCAGAAGGGTGAGCAGTGACAGCAGCTCACAGGAGACCTCACCTGAAAGTTCTGAGCTCTGGCCTTTAAAATCTCTCCTGCCTTCACTCTCCTGTGTGCGGTCGCTGAGCTGACTTGGCCCTCAAAGGGGCAGCCAGAAAGGCGGGGTCACCAACAGGGATGAGCCGTACACCACGGGCACTGCAGCCGCCTCCCACCCACGTGCCATGCCTGGGGTAGAAGCGAGAGCCACACAGGGTCCGCAGAGCCCACCCACCCCGAGGAAGCAGCAAGTAGATCGCCGGGGTCCTCAGCGCCTCCGAGGATCCCCTCCGCCAGGGAACCCCGCCTCCTCTCACTTGCCCTACAAGCGCCACAGGCGCGCGGGCATGTGCACACAAAGGTGGGCACTTAGGCACACACGTGCACGCAGACGCAGGCATGCACACGCACACCTGCACTCAGGTGCACACACGTGCACGCAGGCACAGGCACGCACACACACACAAGCATACGCACATGCATACATGCACATGCACTCGCACACAGGCATGCACACTGGCGCACCAGGGCTGTTACCAAATAACATACCCCTCCGGACAGTCAGCCCCGCCCAGGCCACGCGGGCAAACAAGTGAGGGATGGGCCCAAAGTGTGGATGGAAAAGGAGAACGAGGAGCCAGGGGCCTGCAAACTCGGGAATTGTATGCGAACTGACTCAGCGCTGGCGCGGGGTGTATGCAGCCCAGCACCCCTGTGTGCGGCCTGGGCTCAACGGGAGAGGCTGGATCTGTGGGACCCTGCACCATCCGGGCTGCCCTGAGGGGCAGCTGGTGGGAGATATGAGGCACCAGCTGGCGTGTGGGGTCGCTGAGGGGGCCTGCTCCGCACCGGGAAGAAACACCAAGTGGGGAGGACATGCTGGTCTTGGCCTGTTTCCACTGAGAAGGGAGGCTGCCCGAGCCATGGTTTATAGACACTGACTAAGTCCCAGTTATCCGCCTCCCATCACAGGCCACCATAAAGTGTGACCTTGTCCTGAGCAGACCACTGGCTCCAGCTCCCGCGCCCGGGCGCAGTGACACAGTGGGGCGCTCCCGTGTCTGGGGCTCCTCCCATGTCTGGGGCAGAGGACAGGACAGTTCGCAGGGGCCAGCCTGCCAGCAGCCAGGCATCAGCAGGCCGTGGAGGCTGACTCCGGTGTTAGGTTTGTACAAAGCAAGCCATGTTGCACTCCTGCTTATCTTACTAACAGCTCTTTGTCTGGCTTCCTTGGCTAACAGGAAGTAGGCAAGATGTGTGTGTGTACTTGAGTGTGTACATCCACAAGGAAACACACCATAGAGGAGGCAGGTAAAATGACCCGTGGTGTTTCTTCCTGGGGAATAACCCTAGGAGGATCTCACCACCGCCCTCCACTTCTGCTCCTCTTTCCAGCGGTGAGACCCGAATGCAGCCCCTAGGAGGCAGGATGAGGAGAGGTTCCTGGAGGAGCTTCCCTAGGGGACGCCAACTGCACGTCACCTACAAATGTTCCAGTGATAATGTGAAGGGAACACTGTGATTCAACCAAATCACACATTTTAAATTTTGAAGAGAATTTGCAAGAATAAGCAGCAAACTAGCTGGTGGCCTTTAAAATATTAGTTCCGAATTTATTAGATTTAAAAAGCAGGGGCCTTTCTAGCTGGTGGCCAGATGCCTTCGAATTGTGACTGAGTCTGTCACCAGGCAACACCTTCTGCACTGGGAACCTCCAAGGCAGAAGCCGGGGGGACCCCAAGTTTGCAGAAAGGGGAATGCAGGAGGCTGAGCGCAGAAAGGCCATCTCTACCTCTGCTCCAGTCCTGAAACTAAAACGCAGCTGAAATTCATCCATAGAGCCATGGGCTAGTGGAGGAGACAGGCAGGCCCTGACATCCAGAGCCACAAGCTTGGTAACGTGAGCATCCAGGCATGCTAAGGTTTAAGCATGAGAGGCAGCCACAGAACTGGCTTACTTCCTCCTAAATGCTCACTCACAGCTGCAGTCTTGTCACATCAAGGGCAGACTCCACCCTCGTGCCCAGGAGTCCACTCTCACTTTTGCTGCCTCTCAGCAGCCATGGGGCAGAGAACCAAGCAGAGGTCTGGGGTACCCCACAGGCCAGCCCCAGCCCCTTAGTGCATGCAGCACAAGAGGGACAGAAAAGAGGGAATTCCTCACCACCGTCTGCATGTCCCAGTGAGCGGGCTGGTGGGGACAGCCGCTCTTGAAACCCTGGACATTGCCTTCCCTGGGGCTGAGTGCTAAGCAGACAATGCAATGGGGGACGCTGAGGTCAGCGCTGAAATCTCTGGAGGCTCAAGTGACCCGGGTGACAGGACGCTGGCCCTGGCCTCATTCAGGCCATGTTTCCGGTGAATGAACTGGCCACAGACATGAGTCCCTCTACCGTGGGGGCAGAGGGCGCTGACGTCTACCCTTGCCATCTTGCCACACTGGGGTTCAGTCAGGCCTGAGAACTGACAGGTAAATAAGGCAGATTGGCTGTGAACCAGCTGTTAGGGTATCCGGAGCCTGTGACACTAGAACCCTAGATTCTGGGCACACCTTTGTTGTCTCACCTTTATTGCAAAGGGTTAACCTAAGAAGGTATGAAATTATTAAATGCTTCCCTAAGCGAAGCTGTTGCTCTCCCTTCTCCTCCTTCAGTCCGCTCCAGAATAATGCAGTGCTTCGCCTCACAAATTAAAGTTTAAATCTTGATCTCCGTGCAGATTGCCTTGGCAACCTCAAATGCTCTGTGATGAGCATCTCACCATAGCAAAAAGGCATAAATCGAAGCATACAGCTCAGAAGTACAAACCTTTACATGAGTCATCCTCGATCGGCTGTTTGAAAGCCGTGATGTCGCTGAAGGTGCAAAGAAATAAAACCACTTTGTCCTGTTCATTTCGTATGGGAGCAATTTTCACAAAGAACCACACAGGTGTCCCTGAAAGAAATATCAAAAGGTTGATCAGTAATTTGCATTCTCAATAGAGGGGCCATGGAAACAAAGACTTGGGAATGAATAGCTACAAATATTAATTCATGTTTTGAATGGTTTCATGCCTTCAGATGCTGGCGTGTTATACCGTTAATTTCTTTTCTTGTGGGAAGAAAAACTTTCAGTGAAACTCAGCAGGCTTTACTTCTGATCAAATAATGTAAATGCAGATCTCATAGCCCTTGTGAAATAGTTGGAAAAGCCCTATCAGTGTCAGAGCATTAACTAAGGTGTAACACCCCAAAGGCTCAGCTCAGGCCCTGTGGCGAGAAGCACAAGTGTGGCCAGGTGGCACAGCTGGCCCCAGCCAGCAGGCCAGGCAAACTCAATTTCCAGTGTTCAAGGGCCCCGGCGTCAAAACACCATTTGGGAATCCATCCAATTGGTTCTGAAGGCCAGAAACTCTATTTCTAACTCTCGCCCTTGCCCCCCCCCCAAAAAAAAGTCAAAAAGGCTCAACAAAATGCTAAAAGACATCACAGAGATTCTCTGAGCAAAGGCTTCCCCAGAAAGGGAGGTTGCCAGGGGTAGGGCTGTGATTACCAGGGTGCTAAGGAAGCTGGGGGCAAGGCTTCACTCCAGCCCTGCTGCTGAGTGGAGGGTCAAGGAGCCCTTGCAGGACACCCCTAAAGCCCTGTTCTATGGCCAGCTTCACCGGGTCATGGGGTGATCAGGCTGACTTAGCAAGGGTGTATACTTGGGTGTCACGGCCACATATTCACACCAAGTCGACCTCCGCTGCAGAAGACCGTCAGGAGAAACAAATGCTTCCTGTCTTAAGAGGACACCCAGCCAGACAAACCCATCTAGCCTGAGACACTGAGCGTGACACCCCATGCCACCCCGCGCGTGTATTCCGGCTCCTCAAACAGCATCTGGCACCTGAGGCTTAGGAACCACTGGCTGAATCTTGCATGAGTGGCATAATACTATACATACTGCTTCAAGCATTTGCAAATTAAAATACAGTAGCTGTTTTCTCAACATTGTGAAGCATTAGAGCCACTTTGCTTCCTCTGCACCAGGCACCTGGAGCCATTTTCACACATTTTACTTTAATTTAGAAGCTATCAAGCAAACAGCTCACTGAGCCTTAGTGATGGAGATAAATCCCCAGGAGCCATCCGATCTCTGCCTGAATCACATCAGGCGCTATGCCAGACAGATAGACACACAGACAGACATCTCTGGCTGGAGCCTGACTTAACGACTAGCTGGCATATGCAGACATCCTACTTAAGGATAAATAACCCTAAAATGTACAGGCAGTAAATAAATCAAATGCAAATGCATTCCCCTTAAAGCGTGATTATCTCTGTTTCTACCCATAGTTCATTTTCATCCTTCTGTCCATTTTCTTTAATTTTCAGCTGCCAGTTTCTGGGTGCTTTCAGAAGACACCTGGATTATAATATCATCCTGGAAAAATGTGGTTTGGAAGGAAACCCAGCACAAAAATCCCACAAAACATTCCCAAACCAAGAGAAACAAGGCCTTTGAATTATTCACTGTTTTGGGAGGTCTGGGATGCTCCTCCCAGGCCCCCCTCAGAGCCTTTGGGACTTTAAACCATTTTCAATTAAGCAACAGAAAATCAAGACAGTGCCACCCTCTGAGCTCCATGCCCGGCCGAGCAGTGGTTGCCGGGGAGGGGAAAAACAGTAATCAAAAAGTAAAAAAATATATATGCATAAGATAAAATATATGCATAAAATATATGTGTATAAGGACATGCAGAAAAGGGACCCTGGCCGTGTGAAGAGCTGGACAGTGTATCCAAACTCAGACCCACTGGTGTGCTCTCAGGAAACTGAAAATATGACTTATAAAATATCACTAAGAAAATAAAATATGTCTTCCTTCCTGCTCCAAAAGAAAGATGAAGCATCCTTTTTCTGATGACAAGCCAGAAAACACTGAGGGGTTCCACACCCCTGGGGCCTGACCTGTCTTGCTGGAGTCCCAGTCCCCTCTTAACAGCTGCCCCCTCCAGCAGACCCGGTCCCCTTGAACTTGTACCGGCTGATCTTTATATTCCGTTCCTGACCCCTGGTGTCCTGACGTCGACCCACCTCCCCAGGCCCCAGGAGCCAGCACTTCACCAAGGGGAGCCCTGGTTCGTTTCCTACATTTTGGGGATTACACGAACTCTCTGCATGTCCATAGGTCAATTGCTCACAAAATGCTTCTCGTCCCCAAACTCTGTCCTGTGTTTCCAGCATGAGGGGCTCCCTGCTCTTTCTTCTGAGTACTCCTGGTCAGTGTGTGAACTTCCCCATAGAATTTCCTTCACCAAAGCACCCGTGCACCATCACTTTAGTCCCCTGTGCTCCTCCCTCCCTCTCTCTGATCCCTCTCCCTCCTCCTCCCCTGCAGGATGTCTCTGGTTTATAATTGTCTGTTTTTGTTTTCTTTTGTATTGTTACTGTTTTTTCCCCCCCGGTGTCTTATTTGGTCCCCCTATATTCCTGCTCTAAGTGAAACCATGCGATATTTTTCTTTCTCCTTCTGACTTATTTCACTGAGCGTCATCCCTTCCAGCTCCATCCATGTTGCTGCGAATGGCATTAGTTTATCTTTTTTGATTGCTGAATAGTATTCCATTGTGTATCTAGACCACATCTTCTTGATCCAATCATCTATTTTTGGGCATTTGGGTTGTTTCCAGGTTTTACCTATTACAAATAGTGCTGCAATAAACATAGGGGTACAGGTGTTCTTTTGAATCAATGTTTTTGTGTACTTTGGGTAGATCCCTAGGAGTGGAATTGCTGGGTCATATGGTAGCTCCATTTTTAGTAGACTGAGGAAACTCCAGGCAGCTTTCCATAGTGGTTGCACTGTAACAGGGTGGTCCCCAGGTAAAGGGGAAGTTCCAGGTTCCCTGCCCCACCCAAAGGAGAAGAAGCTGCAGAGGAGACTGAGGAAGGAAGAGGATGGAGAGCCAGAAGGAGACCTGGATGAGGCACATGGAGCTGAGAGACACGTGAAGAAACTGTGCTTGCCTTTTAGTTGTGGACTGGGTGACACAGATGTGGGTGAGAGACCCGTGGGGAGGATCAAATGGCAGCTTTCACCATGATTTTGATTTTGGTTTTTTTCCTCCCAGACTTGTCTGGTTGTTTCTGACCCTTTTCTGTGGGTCCCCACTGAAAGGTACTTTAGACTTGTGGCAGGCTTTGGGGCCTTGCTCTGGGCCAAGCCTGCTTGGGTGGACTTTTACCCACGAGGGGACGGGTAACTTTGGGTGCTTGATTTAGAAACTATATTCTTTGCCTTTCCTGGTTGTTTACTAATTGTATTAAAGTTCCTTTTCATTAAAGTCTCATATGTTTTGTATTGATGTGGCCTATGGCAGAACCTATTTAGAGCAGGCAGGTTTGGGGGCTCTGGGGTGCCCCTTTCCCTGCCCTGTAACAGGACCAATTTGCACTCCCACCAGCAGTGCAGGAGAGTTCCTTTTTCACCACATCCTCGCCAACATTCGTTGTTGCTAGTTTTTTTGATATGTGCCATTCTTACTGGTGTCAGGTGGTCTTTCAACGTGATTTTGATTTGCATTTCCCTGATACAAGGGATGTTGAACATTTTTTTCATATGCCTATTGGCCATTTGCATTTCCTCTTTGGAGAAGTGTCTTTTAAGTTCTTCTGCTCATTTCTTGACTGGATTGTATACATAAGCTTGTATCTTGTACCAAAAAGTCAGTCTGTCTACTGTAGAGCTGTCTCTAGAAGCCCTGGCTGCTGGGGGAGGGGCTTCCTTCCCTGATCTGCCCTTTCCCTGGGGAAGGGTGGCTTGTGATGGACACCCCTGGCACGGAAATTAGGGAACTGGAAGTGAGCAGTTCAGCCCCATCTCCCCCTCTGCTGGCTTAGGCTGCAGCGGGATGCTTGCTGAGTTTCCAAAACATAAATCCTCTCCGACTTCCCCCAAGGAAGGTATCCCCACCTGACTGAGATTCTCCCAGCACAGAGCAATCGCACCAACCCTATCCTCCAGAGCAAAGCATTAATGGGTATCACTTAAGCTAAGAGTTGGCTTTGGTCAACATGAACGGGCACCATCTGGAGCTGAAGGCCCCACCCGCTGGTTCTCCTCCACCCCTCAGGGAGTCAGAGAGGGTTTCCAGAAACCCTTTGCTCCATTAAGACAGAATCCTGCATGGGGGCAGAGACTGGGGCAATTGACCTCCAGGGTCTCGCCAGAGCTCAGGATCTGCAGCACAATCTAGTCCACAGGGCATGAGAGAGGCAGCCAATATACCAGTATTCACCAGGCACACAGCACACACACAAGTGTACACACACACAAAACCAGGGGGAAGGGGGAGATTCTGCCTCCGACCCGAGTGGATACAGTGGGAAAACGCCGGCATTTGGTGTTCTGCTCCTACAGGACAAAGGGTCACCTGACCACCAGGCCGAGGCTACTGGGGCACAGCGATGCTGCAGGAGGGTGGTTGGTCACTCTGTGACTCTCACCCTTAGCAGCTCCCCTGAGTTGGGGAGGGATGAACGGGACGGCTAACCTGGGTCCGGCCCACAACCTCAGCAGCCAGAGAGCAAAGCAGCAAAGATTGTGGGTGCATAGTCTCTGGGGTCTGCCCAGGCACTCACTGCCCCAGGTAGCTGGGCAGACAAGCTGAGCCACAGCCAGCCCTCAGGAAAGGCTGAGGGTGCTTGGTCTCTGGGGGTTCTAGGACAAGGTAGGCACTGGCAGCCCCAGGAAATAGCCAGCTCTGGGTCAACTTGAGTGAAAGCTAGAGAGAGACTGTTCCAGGGATGAAATGGGCCCAGGCCATTGACTCTTCTCTTTGGAGCCCAGGACGCTTGGCTGGCTCACCTTGTCTCCAGCTTCTCATGTGGGCTTCGTCCTTTCATTTTCTCTCTCTCTCTCTCTCTCTCTCTCTCTCTCTCTCTCTCTCTCTCTCCTAAGATTTTTAT